TTAGTCATTCATTCTGCCCATTACCCAGTTCCAAAGCTGTTTTCAGGTCCAAAGCTGTTTCCCCATCTTCAAGTATCTTTATAGCAATACCCCACTCTCAATACCAATTTTCTGTATTAGTACATTTTGCATTGTTATAAGAAATAAATGAGACTCGGTAATTGATAAAGAAAAGAGGTCTATTTTGGGTCATAGCTCTTCAGATTTTATAGGAAGTGTGAGGCCAGCATCTACTTCTGGTGAAAGCATCAGGAGGTTTTCAGTCATGGTGGAAAGTGAAGGGTGAACAGGTATGTCACATGGTCAGAAGAGGGAGAAAAAGAGAGAAGGAAGAGGTGCCAGGCTCTTTTAAACAACCAGATCTCACATGAACTCATGGAGTGAGAACTCACTCATGACCACAAGGACAGCAGCACCAAACCATTCATGGAGAATCTGCTCCCATGACCCAAATACCTCCCACTAGGCCCCACCTCCAACATTGGGGATCACACTTTAACATGAGATTTGGAAGAGACACACACCCAAATCATATCAAAATTTATTTCTTAACCTTCTATTAAAATAATATAGGAGAAGAAAAGATAAATACCAAGTAAATGAGCAAGAAGAGATCGGATTAGAATTGCTTTTACATATATCATCTGTATTTATCTTTAAGAAACGTTGGAATGTTTTCTTCAGCTTTTATTTTAGCTTTGGCCGGTCCATGTGGAGGTTTGTTATGTAGGTATATTGTGTGACACTGAGGTTTGGGGTATGAATCCCATCACCCAAGTGTTGAGCTTAGTACCCAATAGGAAGTTTTTCAATCCACACTCATTTTTCTCCTTTTCCCCTCTAGTGGTCCCCAGTGTGTATTACACCCATCTTTATGTCCATGTGTACTCAGTGTTTAGCTCCCACTTATAAGTGAGAACATATGGTATTTGGTTTCTTGTTCCTGCATTAATTTGCTTAGAATAATGGCCTCTAGCTGCATCCATATGCTGTAAAGGACAAAATTTTGTTCTTTTTTATGGCTGTATGGTATTCTATGGTGTATATGTACTACATTTTCTTTATCCAGTCCACCATTGATAGGGATCTAGGTGACTCTCTGTCTTTGCTATTGTGAATAGTGCTGCAATAAACATACAAGTGCATGTGTCTTTTTTTTTTTTTTTTTGAGACGGAGTTTCGCTCTTGTTACGCAGGCTGGAGTGCAATGGTGCGATCTCGGCTCACTGCAACCTCTGCCTCCTGGGTTCAAGCAATTCTCCTGCCTCAGCCTCCCAAGTAGCTGGGACTACAGGTGCGTGCCACCATGCCCAGCTAATTTTTGTATTTTTTAGTAGAAAAAAATGGGGTTTCACCATGTTGACCAGGATGGTCTCGATCTCTTGACCTCGTGATCCACCCACCTCAGCCTCCCAAAGTGCTGGGATTATAGGCGTGAGCCACCGGCATGTGTCTTTTTTGATAGAAGACTTTATTTTCTTTTGGCTATGTACCCAGTAATGGGACATAGCTCTATTTTAAGTTATTTGAGACATCTTCAAACTGCTTTCCATGGTCGTTGAATTAATTTATATTCCAACAACAGCGTATGAGTGTTCCCTTTTCTCTACAGCCTTGCCAACATCAGTTATTTGTTGACTTTTAAATAATAGCCATTCTGACCGGTGTGAGATTGTATTTTATTGTGGTTTTGATTTGCATTTCTCTGATGGTTAATGATGATGAGCATTTTTTCATATTTGTTGGCTGGCTGCTTGTATGTCTTCTTTTGAAAAGTGTTTGCTCATGTCCTTTGCCCATTTTTTAATGGTGTTATTTGTTTTTTGCTTGTTGATTTAGGTTCCTTATAGATATTGAATATTAGACTTTGTTGGATGAATAGTTTGCAAACATTTTTTCAATTCTGTAGGTTGTCCATTTACTCTGTTGAGCAGAAGCTCTTTAGTTTGATTAGGTTACACTTGTTAGTTTTTGTTTTTATAAACTGGAATTTTTAACCTCATTTTATAGATGAGAAAACTGAGACTTAAACAGAATTTTTTTTAAGATCATAAAATTGGTAGGTGATGAAGCTGGGTCTCAATAAATCTTTTTAAAAATTTAAATACCAACTCTATCTATATAATTGGTCAGTCACTGTGCTTGATGTGAAATATACAACTGTAAATAAGATGTAATTTCTGTCTTCTAGGACCTTACTGCTTGATGGAAAACAGATGGGTTTAAAATTTACTTTAATGCAATGTGATAAGCTCTATGTGATGACAGGTTCAGAAGGTGATGCCAATCCCAAGATCAGGTAGGATTTTGTCAGGCAAATATCAGGACAGCATTTAAGTGGAAGAAATTGTATAAGCAATGCCATGGAGGCTAGGAAGTTGTCCAGTTAAGTTGGAGTCTAGGGGCATTGTTGGAAACTGAGTTGGAAACATACATTGAAGCCAGATCATGGAGGGCTTCTATGAGCATTCAACCAACACTTATTTATCGGACATACATCATGATGAGCTACTGTTTGAAATGCAGAGAGTACAGCAGCAAACAAGACAAACCAAATCCTTGTTCTTATGGGCCTTACATTATAGTAGGGAGAAAAAGACAATAAATGAGTAACGCAAAAACAAGGTATCAAATATGAAAAGTGTTAAGAACATTGGCAACACAAATGAGTAAGTGACAGAGAGTAATTGCAAGGATACTCTTAGAATAAATGCCAGAGAAATCTTCACTCGCAAGGCAACTTTTTAACTGAGACCTGAATGAAATAAGGATCGAGCCATAGCAAGATTGAGAAAAAGACTATCGTAATCAAAAAATATAGCTGGTTGAAAGGTTTCCAGGTAGGGATCAGCTTGTCCTGCTAGAATCATGGAAAGAAGGCCAGAGTGATTAGAAAACAGTGATACAGAGGAGAATGGTGAAAGACGAGGCTTTTCAGGGCCTTATCCTGTAGGAAGGCCCTGAGAATGAAGTTAGGTTTTATTCTCAATATGGAAAGAAACTACTGGGAGTTTCAAGTAGGGAGTGGCACAGTGTTGTGTACCATTTTAAAAGGGATGGGAAGTCCCATCAGGAAGCTGTGTTCTAGGAGAGGTGATGGCCTGGCCTGGAATGATAGGAGTAGAGATGAAAAGAATCATGAATTTGGGATATTTTGTATTTTTAGATAGAAAAAAAGGACTTGCATGTAGATGGCGCACTGAATGTTGAGCAGCTTCCAGATTTTGAGTTCTTTCACTCTTATTCTCCACCTTCTGATTTAATTTGCTAGGGAGAGTCTAAGTTACAGAGAGCATTTGTGAAGGAGACTCATCTTACACAAGAACAAATATGTCATTTAAGTGGAAGCCAACATATGGGTGTTCTCATTGATCTTGAGGCCCAGGACAAGCCATGCCCTTTGCGTTTCTCTCTCCCCCAGGCTCACAGTCCTAGCTTAGATGCCTTTCCTCTGTGAAAGACTTTCTCCGTTCTTCTAGGTAGAGCTACTTACTCCCTTCTTGGTGTCGTCACAGTAATTTTCTTATACTTATGACATCGTGTCTTGCATAATGGTTGTTTGCTGTATATATTTGTCTTACTATATTTTTATTTCCTTCAGGAAAGCGGCTATTGTTACAAGTTATTATATTCTTCCTATAGTAAATACAATCCAATGACCCTCAGCATCCATTCCTATCTCTCACTATATTTCCTAGACTTCTTTGTAGCTAGCGTTCTAGATGCGAATTAATGTTTTTTCAATTAGGCATAATTGCATGCCATTTGGAAGGTGAAAGTGAGTTACAGACCATCATACAGAGATTTTTGACCTTTTTTTTTTGAGAAATAATGTTATAGAGACATGTTGATGAGCAATTTTGGCAGCAATGCCAGAAGCTTCTGAATCACATGTTTCTGATTTTTTATTTCTGATTTTGCAACTCTGGTGATGTGTTGAACTCAATACTCCCAGGGGTTTATTTCTAATTTCTAATAATTCAGCTCTTATTGTTCTAGGCAGTAAATCCCTTATTGTTTAAAAGACCTAAAAAGGTTACTGTTTTATTCGTTGAGCCATAACTAAACAAGGAGTTCATTCAGTCTCTTGTTTGTCCCTGTGGTTTATATACAGTAGATGCCCAGTTAATGTCCAGTTGAATTTATTCCAAAGTCAGACTTATTTCTTCTACTTATTCAGAAACAGTGAGTACCACTAGACATCACTGCCTGTAGTAAGTGCTAAGCAGTACAAGTTTGAATAAGACATGGTCTTATTCCCAGTTTTGCAGGAGAGACACTTCCCGTAGAGAGTGGGCCAAATGACATAACAGAAGTGAGTGTGAACTTAGAGGAAGCAGAGTTTGGAGTGTCCAGAAAGTCTGCTTAGAATAGGTGATGTTTTAGTTGGGACCCAGAGGATGCCTAGGTTTTTGCCAGGCAGAAAATAGCTGGGAGGCAATCATGCTGATGAGATGGTATATTCAAAGGTATGAATTCATGAGAAAGCAAGTGTACTAAGAAAAGGCTAAGTCCTTGGTGTGGCTGGAGTATTGGACGCTCCTGGAAGGGGCCTTTCATGAGACTAGGCTGGGTAGGTCAACTGATCAGATGTGCCTATGTGCCACAATAAGGAATGTGAATTTTTTTCTCAAGTCACTGGGGAGCCACTGAGGAGAAGGACCATTAAGGCAGTGGAGATGGAGACACGAGAAGAGACTCAAAAGTTATGGGGTCGTAGAGTTGGGAAGACTCGATGACAATTTGAATGTGGTGGTGAGTGAGTGGTAAAGGTAAAATGTGACTCAGTAGGGGGAGAAGGAGCTAAAAATTATATTTAGATAAATTTCGTTTTGACTCTTTGTTATTTGTTCTGTACTGATTCTTATTTTTTTTCAGTGCCCAGGAACTCAGGAAACAAAGACATTTTAGAAGTCAAGAAATGAGGTCTTAGTTTTGGAAAATGGCTCAAAAGTGAAAAGAGCACAGCCCCACAGTGAAGAAAGAAAGCAGCCATCAAAGTCATTGCTCATCAATTATTTATTGGATATTTAAATACAATTCCATAGTCTGCACATAGATTATCTTGAAAGAGTTTTCAGGTCTTAGGAGCTATGGATTGACAATTTTGATGCCCTGGAATTTGCAAACATATGACATATTCTTTCTATTTTATATAATCAGAAACCATGAGGCATTGAGGTGGAATGGGTCTAGTCAGCTCTAATGGTAGGCACTGATGGACAGTGCCTCTGGTATGGAATGACAGCCTGGCATGGGACATGTAGTCAAGATCAGCGATGCACTCTGTGTTTCTGGCTCTCCTAGCAGCCTCGCGCTGAGTTTCTCTCTAGTCTAGATTATGAAGCTTGAAATTCCTTATGTTTAATCCACAGGAGCCAAAGCTCACCAAAACCTAGGTTTCCTCTCCTCAGTTGCAATGTAAATCTTCAGGATATCTTTTCTGTTTCTGAACTTTAGGGAGAAGTGTTCTGCCTTTCAATGATTCATTCAGGTCTCATCTACACAGAGGGCAAACCAGGACATTATTTAAATACCCAAATGATCAACATTAAGAAATGGTTGTCTCACCCAACTTACCACCTAGATTTTGCTGAATCAGAAAACCCTAGAATTGCTGCCCAAATAACTGAAAGCCCTCAAGTGAGTACTAGTCCTCAAAAACAACCTTGCAGGAAGATACAGGAGAGAACAGAGGGAAGAAATACATTCTCAACCTCTTAAATAGAATTAAAGATGAACTCAACATATAGGTTTCTTCTTCGGTTTGTGTTGCTTTATCTCTGGTGCTCACATAGACTAGTACCGATAGGATTTCTGCTCTTGCACATAGACATAGAGAGGGTTGGGAGCCATAGCTGCCTTGGAAGGGTGACCACGGTGTTCTCTGCCTTGGGGCTTCCCACTGCTCTGGGTTGGAAAGAAGGCTGGCTCAGTGTGTCTTCCCCATAAGCCCTGGCTCTGGTCGTCTTCATTTATGTAGAATTTTTCTCTGTTAGGACAGCTTCTCTGGGTCACTTGAGATTTTTGATTTTGAGATCCCTGATAGCTCTCTTTCTCCTCATAGTTTTGTCTATTCTGTTGTCGCTGACGGTTCTGCTCATCTTCGTGGGTTTGCCTGTCTCGTCTCTGACGGTTCTGCTCATCTTCGTGGGTTTGCCTGTCTCGTCTCTGACGGTTCTGCTCATCTTCGTGGGTTTGCCTGTCTCGTCTCTGACGGTTCTGCTCATCTTCGTGGGTTTGCCTGTCTCGTCTCTGACGGCTTCTGCTCATCTTCGTGGGTTTGCCTGTCTCGTCTCTGACGGTTCTGCTCATCTTCGTGGGTTTGCCTGTCTCGTCTCTGACGGTTCTGCTCATCTTCGTGGGTTTGCCTGTCTCGTCTCTGACGGTTCTGCTCATCTTCGTGGGTTTGTCTGTCTCGTCTCTGACGGTTCTGCTCATCTTCGTGGGTTTGTCTGTCTTGCCTCTGATGGTTCTGCTCATCTTCGTGGGTTTGCCTGTCTCGTCTCTGATGGTTCTGCTCATCTTCGTGGGTTTGCCTGTCTCGTCTCTGACGGTTCTGCTCATCTTCGTGGGTTTGCCTGTCTCGTCTCTGATGGTTGTGCTCATCTTCGTGGGTTTGCCTGTCTCGTCTCTGACGGTTCTGCTCATCTTCGTGGGTTTGTCTGTCTCGTCTCTGACGGTTCTGCTCATCTTCATGGATTTGTCTGTCTCGTCTCTGATGGTTCTGCTCATCTTCATGGGTTTGCCTGTCTCGTCTCTGACGGTTCTGCTCATCTTCGTGGGTTTGCTTGTCTCTCCTCTGATGGTTCTGCTCTTCATGGGTTCGCCTGTCCTGTGTTCCACATGGACCTTCCTGACCCTCAGGGCTGTGTATATCCCAGTTTTGAGGACCCTGCTCTTGCTCTGCCCAGTGGCTCTGCCCCTCACCATGACTCTCTCTGGTCTGGGCCTGTCTGTGGCCCTGCTCACCACTGCACAATTGCCGGTCCCTCCCTCTGTGACAAAGTGGTCCTTCTTGTCGGATGTGTGCTAAGAGTTTGTGTTGGTGGTGTTGACTGTCCTCTTCAGGCTCCCACACCTGGTGGCCGATCTGCTGTGAGTCCCTAGACTGGAATCCCTGTCCCTGCTTTTGGTACACTTCCTGTCCTAGAGTCTGTTGACTTAGCCTCCCTGATCTTCCTGATTGCTCAACATAAGAGGCTTGTCTTGTTCCTTCAGTCTCTTGGAAGTACTTATTTTGCTCTTGTAGTTCCCCAATCTGTGATTGACCATACTGGGAACTCTGGCCTTGTCTGTCCATCTGGCCATAGTGGGAACTCTGGCCTTGTCTGTCTGGCTGACCATACTGGGAACTCTGGCCTTGTCTGTCCATCTGGCCATAGTGGGAACTCTGGCCTTGTCTGTCTGGCTGACCATACTGGGAACTCTGGCCTTGTCTGTCCATCTGGCCATAGTGGGAACTCTGGCCTTGTCTGTCTGGCTGACCATACTGGGAACTCTGGCCTTGTCTGTCCATCTGGCCATAGTGGGAACTCTGGCCTTGTCTGTCCGTCTGACCGTAGTGGGAACTCTGGCCTTGTCTGTCCGTCTGACCATAGTGGGAACTCTGGCCTTGTCTGTCCGTCTGACCATAGTGGGAACTCTGGCCTTGTCTGTCTGGCTGACCATAGTGGGAACTCTGGCCTTGTCTGTCCGTCTGACCATAGTGGGAACTCTGGCCTTGTCTGTCCGTCTGACCGTAGTGGGAACTCTGGCCTTGTCTGTCCGTCTGACCATAGTGGGAACTCTGGCCTTGTCTGTCTGGCTGACCACCGAGGGAACTCTGGCCTTGTCTGTCCATCTGACTGTAGTGGGAACTCTGGCCTTGTCTGTCCGTCTGACCATAGTGGGAACTCTGGCCTTGTCTGTCCATTTGACCATAGTGGGAACTCTGGCCTTGTCTGTCTTTCTGACCGTGGTGGGAACTCTGGCCTTGTCTGTCCATCTGGCCATAGTGGGAACTCTGGCCTTGTCTGTCCATCTGGCCGTAGTGGGAACTCTGGCCTTGTCTGTCCGTCTGACCGTAGTGGGAACTCTGGCCTTGTCTGTCCGTCTGACCGTAGTGGGAACTCTGGCCTTGTCTGTCCGTCTGACCGTAGTGGGAACTCTGGCCTTGTCTGTCCGTCTGACCGTAGTGGGAACTCTGGCCTTGTCTGTCCGTCTGACCGTAGTGGGAACTCTGGCCTTGTCTGTCCGTCTGACCGTAGTGGGAACTCTGGTCTTGTCTGTCTGTTTGACTACAGCCTGATTCCTGACCCAGCCTCCCAGACTGTCTATAATAGGAGCTTGATTTCTGTTGATTTGTCTGGTTCAAGCGAGAGTCTTGTCCAAGTGTTTCAGATTGTTGTGCAAGCCTTTCAGACTGACCATAATGAGAATCCTGAACTGGTTTTTCACACTGATTTAAGGCAAAGATATGTCCCTGCCGTTTAGCCTGGCCACTGCTGGATTTGTGACTCAGGCTTTCACCAGAGCTGGCATCTTGGCTTTGTCTTTCTGAGTGATCAAGGCTGTAATCCTTGTCTTGTCTCTCAGGCTGACTCTGGTGTGAATCTCTGCCTTGTCTCTCAGGCTGACCATGGTGGGAATCTCTGCCTTGTCTCTCAGGCTGACTGTGGTGTGACTCTCTGTCTTGTCTCTCAGGCTGACCATGGTGGGAATCTCTGCCTTGTCTCTCAGGCTGACCATGGTGTGACTCTCTGTCTTGTCTCTCAGGCTGACCATGGTGGGAATCTCTGCCTTGTCTCTCAGGCTGACCATGGTGGGAATCTCTGCCTTGTCTCTCAGGCTGACTGTGGTGTGACTCTCTGTCTTGTCTCTCAGGCTGACTGTGGTGTGATTCTCTGTCTTGTCTCTCAGGCTGACCATGGTGGGAATCTCTGCCTTGTCTCTCAGGCTGACTGTGGTGTGACTCTCTGTCTTGTCTCTCAGGCTGACCATGGTGGGAATCTCTGCCTTGTCTCTCAGGCTGACCATGGTGGGAATCTCTGTCTTGTCTCTCAGGCTGACTGTGGTGTGACTCTCTGTCTTGTCTCTCAGGCTGACCATAGTGAGAGTCCCTATCTTGTCTCTCAGACTGACTGTGGTGGGAGTTCTGCGTTTCTTTCTCAGGCCTCTGTCTGTGTTGTGGGACCTCGGGCCTCTGTCTGTCTGTGTTTCCTGGGAACTTATGGTCTCGTGCTCCCTCTTGTCCCCGTTCTTGCTGGGAGGTCCTACCTCTGCGTGACTTATTGTCTAGCTTACGATGGCAGGCTTGGACTAACTGGAACACCAACAAGAGGTACTCATGAAAATCAACATGTCCATCCCGGTCTCGATCTAAGAGGTCCAAGATGGTTTCCACAGTCTCTGGGTCATTTGGTCTCTGTGAGAAGAAAAAACAAAGAGCAAAATCAGATGCTGTCCTGTGTATACTAAGATGTGTATCAGTGTTCATGACCCAATCCATTCAATGCTGCATGTACCTCCCTAGGTTGAGAAGCCATTAATCTGAAGTGGCGCGGACTTGGCGCTAGTCTTTAATCAGTTGGCTGTCAGAACCCTGCTGGATCAATGGGAGCATGACCACAGGGAGGAGATACACTTATTTAAAATCAGCTCCATTAGTAATTAATTTGATTCATTTCAAAGTTATCCCATTCCATCACAGGCTGTATTCGAGTTGTTTACCTCCTTTTTTTTTCTCACTGCCTGTGAGATCCTGAAAGGAGAGGAAGCTGCCTTTATTCATGTTTGTATCCCCTGTGCCTAGGGGCACAGAGCAGGTGCTCAGTGGCTCTTTATCGATTTGAATGAATGAATACATGAGAAGATGTGCGGATAGCACTAAAATATAGAACTCAAGGTATGAATCTCAGGTTTTCTTCTGAGAAACTATTTCCTGTTACCTTGAAGTTTGTATTCCCTCTTGTTCAAACTCAGATACAAGGGGTGTGTGTGTGTGTGTGTGTGTGTGTGTGTGTGTGTATACACTGGGAGAGGATTACTAAGAAGCTGCCTGAAACTTTTTTTGTTATAGGGTAAAGCATGACCAAATAAAACAAAGCATCCGATCCTGGTTCAGGCATCAGAGTTATTCACACGATTCCTTGGGGCTATGTGTCTGTGTGTCTTACCCGAAGGATGTCTCCAAACTCAGCGAAGAGCAGTTGCTTCAGCTCCTCCTTGCATAATAAGGCGCAGTCCCCATTCTCTGTGGCGTACTTGTGGAACACCTCTACCACATTGAGTATGCTATTCAGGAGTTGAGCCATTTCGACAAATACAGGTGAACCTAAAAGAAGAAACAAGATTTCTCCTGCCCTAGGATAATGACCAAGAGACAGCATTACCAGAGGGAAGTGATGCTTCTAAATCTGGAAAATAGTTTAGGAAGTGAGAGAACCCTTCCTTGCCCTGACTCACAGTCAGGGACCAAATATCATTGCTATGGTGGGAGATGGTGCAGACTTAGTTCCCCTGCTATAAAAAGGGGCAATTTCCTAAAAATCAATAGAAGCATGGCGGGTATTTTACTTATCCCATCCTCTACTCCAGTTAGGACTTGCTTGATTGAAACTCTCATATTAGAACAAACAGAAGGGAGGACAGGAAGCTCAGCAGAGGCAGGGCCGGAAGCCAGCATAGTAGGCCATAATTTTCTAATAACAACTAGCAAACTGAAGCGGGCACTAAATAGATCCCACTGATCAGCTTTCAGCCTTGTAACAAGCGTTCCGGAAGCAAGGAAGAAGGATGAAAGCCTGTCTCCATGGTCTAAGAAAGCTTTCTGGGAGGCTAAATTCCAGCAAATGCCTCTGGCCTGGATGATTTTGGGACATGCTTATAAAATGAAAATAATGACTATAAAAGCTGTTACAGATAAAAATAGCGAGTGGGTACATAGTCAAATTAAGGGGACAGATTGTAGGAGGTATATATAATCAGTTAGGTCCACATTGGCCGTGCCGAGAGAGTTGGGTCTTTGGGATCTGGATCTTAATTACATTTTTTTCTTGTGGCATGAAAAATCCCAGTGGGTTTATAGGCCTCCAAACTGAAGCCCCATCTGCAGAGCACACCGAACTGCCAAAAGCATACAGTGATGTCTGTAAGAATAAGTGATGAATAACAGATCACGTGGGACAAGCTGAGTTTGGTGCTGCAATTCATCACAATGAGACTGAAGCAATCCCGGGCCCACGGTCCAGAGCCTTGGCCCTAAACCATTAGGTCTTTCCTAGCTTGCACAAAAAGTAAACACTCCCCTGTGGGAAACTAAGCTATTCATCAATAGTTCTAGCCTTCAGTTTTGAGATACCTGGGACACATTGAAGCAAAGGCACTTGCATTTCACAGACACGGAAGTCGTCAACACCAGCTATCATTTGTATTCTCAGATAGAGCCAGAAAAAGGAAGCAGAAGGTACCCAAGTCTATTACCCACAGGAATTAGTCTCAGACCTCCCCGGCCTAGTGTATTATGTGACTCTTGAGAGCCCTGTAGATACTACCATTGCTCCCCCATGTGTGTCTTACCTGCTTGCGGAGGAAGGAGTAGAAGATTCAGGAGTCAGAGAGGATATTGGAGACCTGAAAGCTCATCCTATTTATAGGGGTTTTAATTATCCTACCATGCCATCCCAGGAGACACCCATTCTGTGGCAAAGCCTGAATCACTCGGGGCCCAGCCCAGTTCAGCCCAACTTGACCTCTCCCTCTGCAAACCGTTTGGTCTATTTACTTCCCCCACTTGCTCATGAACCTGTTTGTCACTAGAGTAGGTGACATTATTTAAGTTCCAGCCCCATTTAATTAGGAGAATGTGTGTGTGTGTGTGTGTGTGTGTGTGTGCATGTATGTGTGCTGTGAGGGTCCCAAAAGACAGAGGTGTTGGCTGAGTTCATCCTTAATATGTGTCACTTGCCAATGCTAATAGAGGGCAACAGTCAACTCGTACTGAAGAAGGATATCTATATGGTCATTTACAAACATATGTCAACATTGGAACTAGAGAGTCTATATTTGGCCAGAATATAGTTCCTGGAAAACATGTCTCTTAGACTAACCTTTTTCTTGTGCCAGTAGATATTTGGATATTAATGTGTTAACCTATGTTGAATTGCTATTATTTTTAATTTAATAGCTCCACGGACTATTTGGGAGAAATGGATACATGGTTAGTTTTGGGAATGAGGGGCGCTGATGGTGGAACTTCTACCACTTAAGCCTCCTAAGACTTACCACTAAAAAGTTTGAGTTGAGGGACAACATGGAAGTGTATGGTATCTGTGAGACAGAAATGCTGCTAGAGACCCAGACCTGTGTTCATTTCCCATCTCCATGCCCTTGGATTCCAGAAGACTGTCTCCAGCATGGGAGATTCTTAATAAATATTTTTGGGGTAAATGAATTATTGGATTATGGAAGCACTGGAGAATCTTATGTAAGGTGCAAAAGATTGTATACTCACCTGTATTTCTACGTTTGTCTCACATCTAGATCCCTGTTTGGACCTTTTCCTATGTATCCATCAACCAGTAGGTTATTAGTAATAACACTTGCTATTACTTAGCATGTGTTCAGGATTCTGCAAGGGAATCACAACAGTGTAGAAAGATTTTAGTTCACTCGGAATAAAGAAGCTTCACATAGAAAAATATTTTGAAGTCCAGGGATAGTACATGCTAAGTGCTAAGTATTAGAAACATAGGTGCCTGTGGTGTCCTCGTGGCTGGGCCTGGATATCCCTTAGGAGGTGAGTTTCATGTTATTCCTGAAAGGATTCAGGTGGGCAAAGAAGAAAGCAAAGAAATTCTGAGTGGGGAGAAGGGAAAAATCAAAGGTGCTAAGGTGAGAGTTTATATTTTGTGTTTGGATTCTAGTGAGCTGGTAAGTCTGGCTTGAGCAGAGGGATTTAGAAGAGTAGACTTAGAAAATTTTGGAACTGAAAGGGAAATCTAGTCTTAGCCTCTAAATTTTATAGATGAGGAAACTGCGATTCATCTAGATTGAGTGTATTTGCCAAGGGTTTCACCACTATGACTAAAGCCAGGCCTGGTATGTTTGTTTCCTCACTCTAGTCCAATATGCTTTCTGAGACATTCTCTGAGGCAGATATGGGGCCTACTTTAGGGTTTATTTTAATGAGAAAGGAGAAGCAGGGTTTTGGTCAGGAAAAATGACACATAATCAAAGCATCATTCAGAGAAGAATCTAATCGCTCTGTTGCAGGTGGTCAGATGTCTCAGTTTGTCTGGGACTAAGGAGTTTCCCAGGATATGAGACTTTCAGTGGGATAGTTCTGGGCAATCTGGACCGGGGTGGTCCCTCTAAACTCTGGTGTACAAGATGAATTTGAAAGAGGAGTGCTAAGCAGCGAGATCAGTTAGGAGTCTATTATATGGCCTGGGCGAGAAGTGACAAGGGCTTTGGCCTGGATGTGGTAGTTCAAAACTCTAGGAAGGTAGACGGATAATAGCAGAAATAAAGGAGGGGGTTTGGGGACAGATTAGATGAGGGACAGGGAAGGTGTATCATTAGGTGAGACTCCAAGTCTAGATAACTAGAAGAACTGTGGTACACTGAAGAAATGTAACTTCTAAAGGGCCACTCACTGGCCTAAGATCCAGTGCCTCTGTTGGCATTTCCCAGGCCCTCTGCCTTTTGTAGTCTTGTTATCCTCCCTCCAGCTGGCATCCTTGGCTGTCTGGGGTCTCCCAGCACGGGTCAGGACTTTCCTAAGTCTGTTCGTAAATTCTGAGAGTTGGGTCACATTAAGGTTCTCTTCCTGCTTTTGCATCTCTACTTAGTGCTCTTCAGTTATGTCTCTTCTCACCTGTTAGAATAAAAGACCTAGAGAAGATTTGGTTGTCCCAGAGGCAGATAAGAGGAGTGGGGGTTGGGATGGGCAGGGGTGAAGACAATAGCCATCATGACACAGAACAACAATGCTGTGTCCGCCTTTCTTTTGGCATGTTCCATGGTTCCCTAGCAACTGTTTCTTTTGGTTCCATGGGCAATTCTCTTTGTTTGATGCTGCAGTGACAGAAAGATTATGTTCTTAAGTGTAGGATCTGCTGTGTGTTCATTCATTTAACACTTAACACATTCTGACAGAATGGGCAGAGAACTGTATTGATGAGCTAGTCAGTCAATCAATTTGTGAGCATACAGAGGTCACCCTTTTGTGGGCACTGAGATAAAATATAGTCTTTGTCCTTAAAAACTTTCAGTGTCGCTGGGCGCGGTGGCTCACACCTGTAATCCCAGCACTTTGGGAGGCCGAGGTGGGTGGATCACAAGGTCAAGAGATCGAGACCATCCTGGTCAACACGGTGAAACCCCGTCTCTACTAAAAATACAAAAAATTAGCTGGGCATGGTGGCGCGTGCCTGTAATCCCAGCTACTCAGGAGGCTGAGGCAGGAGAATTGCCTGAACCCAGGAGGCAGAGGTTGCGGTGAGCCGAGATCGCGCCATTGCACTCCAGCCTGGGTAACAAGAGTGAAACTCCATCTCAATTAAAAAAAAAAAAAAACTTTCAGTGTCACTGGGATTGAAAGTTCAGTCTCACTGAGATACATAAGATCCTTCTCTGTGGTTTAAATTGCTTCACAGGTATTACTGTCATCAATAGGGTAGAGAGGGGTTGACTAGAGGGAAGAATGGGGAAGCCACAGGGGCTAGAAATAAAACACATTTGGAGGAAGCACCAAATGTGACCTTTGTTTCTTTATCTGTAAAAGGATAGGGTTGGAGCTTTCTTTTGGCATTGGCATTCTGAGATTCTGTAATGCCAGTCTTAAGGTTGGCAGTGGCTGTAGGGGTAATATTTAAGCCTGGCTCTATTCAGAAATTTGATAAAGGCCTCAGAACTTTGTGCTTCTCAGTCTTTCTCTGTGGAAAATGGAGGAAGCAGTTGTGGGTGTTCTGTTTCTCATGAACATTTATACATTGTATGAGGATATACCCTATTTTTAAAAATTATTTTTCACTGTGTTTTGCTGCTTTAAAAGCAGTCATGTTGTAGTGTGACCTTTGGTCTCAAAGGCAAGATGTTTTTAAGCTACAATTTATTGAAGTTTTAATGTGTGCTATGCTCTGCATTAAGCATTTTCAATATATTATCTCCTTAAAATAATTTCAATCTCTACTGCATATTCCATGAGTGTATGTGAAGGTTTATTACATGGGCATACTGCTTGGTGCTGAGCTTTGGGATATGAATGAGCCCACTGCCCAGACAGTGAGAATAGTACCCAATAGTTTTTCAACCTTTTCTCCCCTTCTTCCCCCTTCTAGTAGTCCCCAG